AGAGGAGGAAGAATTTGGAAAGGGAGGTAAGGGGCAAATGAATTAGGAGAGATGGGGTGGGAAGGGGGGTAAGGTTAGAGGGGGGGGAGATCAAGGTATGATAAATGGGGGAATGACAGTGAGAGTTAGGGAGGAGGAAGGGGGGGGGTGAGAAGGGGGGTAACAGAAAGAGATGGAATGGGAGGGGATGGTGAAGGGAAAGAAGGAGAGACAGGAACAGATGGAGGGCTCGCAAGTAGAGGTAGCAATAACGAAACAGTTATCACGTAAAAACGCTCATCAGGAGAAGTCAAACCAGAGGGGATAGGGCTCCGTGGCTTATCGCAGGAGCACCGTTTCCTTTCCTATACCTTAAGCACAATAACACCTTCACAAACCACACATACACAACTGTCCTCCACCTTCCACTGTTTCCCAGAGCAAACGTCCACATGCTCCCACTCGTTTTTGTTATCATCGGTATCTTGAACGTTGTGATCATGTCTTTTTACCATCTCAAGCTCCTACAAGCACAGTCCCCCCAGAAGGGCCATTCCCTCAGAGGTCTGTGGGCTCACCTCACCCCCCCCTCCTCAGTGCCACCAACTAACTCATTACTCTGCCACTATACTTGCTGTAATGAGGAAAGTTTCACACTTGTTCATGATATATAACCCGATCTTGCAAGCGTTTTTTTTTTACTATCACAATGGCGGTCTTAAGTGAACTCCCAAGACGCCGCCCGTCACTCCACACCCACCAACCTCTCCCGCACTTCATGCACGTCAATTTGGACGCTTCCTACCCCCGCGCCGTCAGGAATAACACCACCGCAATACTGACGTTTTCTGGACTAATGAGTATTGGTCTCCACTGATCTTGTCGGAAGCTTGGCACGATATTGCCAGGGAGAAGCACCTTGTATTGGTCCTGTCTAACCTTTGGGAGGGGTTGGTAGTGTACTCACCTAATTCACCTAATTGTGCTTGCGGGGGTTAAGCTCTGGCTCTTTGGTCCCGCCTCTCAACCGTCAATCAACAGGCGTACAGGTTCCTGAGCCTATTGGGCTCTATCATATCTACACTTGAAACTGTGTATGGAGTCAGCCTCCACCACATCACTGCCTAATGTATTTCATTTGTCAACCACTCTGATACTAAAAAAGTTCTTTTTAATATCTCTGTGGCTCATTTGGGCATTCAGTTTCCACCTGTGTCCCCTAGTGCGTGTGCCCCTTGTGTTAAATAGCCTGTCTTTATCTATCTTGTCGATTCCCTTGAGAATCTTGAATTCTCTTGAAGTGTGGTGATGTGAAGGTGGCCATACACCATACACCCCCAGGATACACTCCCAGTATACACCATACACCCCCAGGATACACCATACACTCCCAGGATACACCATACACCCCCAGGATACACCCCCAGGATACACTCCCAGTATACACCATACACCCCCAGGATACACCATACACCCCCAGGATACACCATACACCCCCAGGATACACCATACCATACCCCCAGGATACACAATACACCCCAGGATACACCATACACTCCCAGGATACACCATACACTCCCAGGATACACCATACACCCCAGGATACACCATACACCCCAGGATACACCACACACTCCCCAGATACACCATACACACCCAGGATACACCACACACTCCCAGGATACACCATACACCCCCAGGATACACCATACACCCCCCAGGATACACCATACACCCCCAGGATACACCATACACCCCCAGGATACACCATACACCCCCAGGATACACCATACACCCCAGGATACACCATACACCCCCAGGATACACCATACACCCCAGGATACACCATACACACCCCAGGATACACCATACACCCCAGGATACACCATACACCCCCAGGATACACCATACACCCCCAGGATACACCATACACCCCCAGGATACACCATACATACCCCCAGGATACACCATACACCCCCAGGATACACCATACACCCCCAGGATACACCATACACCCCAGGATACACCATACACCTCCAGGATACACCATACACCCCAGGATACACCACACACCCCAGGATACACCATACACCTCCAGGATACACCATACACCCCAGGATACACCACACACTCCCAGGATACACCATACACTCCCAGGATACAGCATACACTCCCAGGATACATCATACACCCCAGGATACACCACACACTCCCAGGATACACCCCAGGATACACCATACACACCCAGGATACACCATACACTCCCAGGATACACCATACACCTCCAGGATACACCATACACCCCCAGGATACACCATACACCCCCAGGATACACCATACACCCCCAGGATACACCATACACCCCCAGGATACACCATACACCCCCAGGATACACCATACACCCCCAGGATACACCATACACTCCCAGGATACACCATACACCCCAGGATACACCATACACCCCCAGGATACACCATACACCCCCAGGATACACCATACACCCCCAGGATACACCATACACCCCCAGGATACACCATACACCTCAGGATACACCATACACCCCCAGGATACACCATACACCCCCAGGATACACCATACACCCCCAGGATACACCATACACCCCCAGGATACACCATACACCCCCAGGATACACCATACACCCCCAGGATACACCATACACCCCAGGATACACCATACACCCCCAGGATACACCATACACCCCCAGGATACACCATACACCCCCAGGATACACCATACACCCCCAGGATACACCATACACCCCAGGATACACCATACACCCCAGGATACACCATACACCCCAGGATACACCATACACCCCCAGGATACACCATACACCCCCAGGATACACCATACACTCCCAGGATACACCATACACCCCCAGGATACACCATACACTCCCAGGATACACCATACACCCCAGGATACACCATACACCCCAGGATACACCATACACCCCCAGGATACACCATACACCCCAGGATACACCATACACCCCAGGATACACCATACACCCCCAGGATACACCATACACCCCCAGGATACACCATACACCCCCAGGATACACCATACACCCCCAGGATACACCATACACCCCCAGGATACACCATACACCCCCAGGATACACCATACACCCCAGGATACACCATACACACCCCCAGGATACACCATACACCCCCAGGATACACCATACACCCCCAGGATACACCATACACATACCCCAGGATACACCATACACCCCCAGGATACACCACTCCCAGGATACACCATACACCCTCAGGATACACCACACACTCCCAGGATACACAACACACCAGGATACACCATACACCCCCAGGATACACCATACACCCCAGGATACACCATACACCCCCAGGATACACCATACACCCCCAGGATACACCATACACTCCCAGGATACACCATACACTCCCAGGATACACCATACACCCCCAGGATACACCATACACCCCCAGGATACACCATACACCCCCAGGATACACCATACACTCCCAGGATACACCATACACCCCAAGGATACACCATACACCCAGGATACACCATACACCCTCAGGATACACCACACACCCCCAGGATACAGCATACACTCCCAGGATACACCATACACCCCCTGGATACACCATACACCCCCAGGATACACCATACACCCCCAGGATACACCATACACCCACAGGATACACCATACACCCCCAGGATACACAATATACTCCCAGGATACATCATACACTCCCAGGATACACCATACACTCCCAGGATACACCATACACTCCCAGGATACACCATACACCCCCAGGATACACCATACACCCCCAGGATACACCTTACACTCCCAGGATACACCATACACTCCCAGGATACACCATACACCCCCAGGATACATCATACACTCCCAGGATACACCATACACCCCAGGATAAACCATACACCCCCAGGATACACCCCCAGGATACACCATACACACCCAGGATACACCATACACTCCCAGGATACACCATACACACACAGGATACACCATACACACCCAGGATACACCATACACTCCCAGGATACACCAGACACACCCCAGGATACACCATACACCCCCAGGATACACCATACACCCCCAGGATACACCATACACCCCCAGGATACACCATACACCCCAGGATACACCATACACCCCCAGGATACACCATACATCCCAGGATAAACCATACACCCCCAGGATACACCATACACCCCCCAGGATACACCATACACACCCAGGATACACCATACACTCCCAGGATACACCCCCAGGATACACCATACACTCCCAGGATACACCATACACTCCCAGGATACACCATACACCCCCAGGATACACCATACACCCCCAGGATACACCATACACCCCCAGGATACACCATACACCCCCAGGATACACCATACACCCCCAGGATACACCATACACCCCCAGGATACACCATACACACCCAGGATACACCATACACTCCCAGGATACACCATACACCCCCAGGATACACCATACACTCCCCAGGATACACCATACACCCCCAGGATACACCATACACACCCAAGATAAACCATACACCCCCAGGATACACCATACACCCCCAGGATACACCATACACCCCCAGGATACACCATACACCCCCAGGATACACCATACACCCCCAGGATACACCATACACTCCCAGGATACACCATACACCCCCAGGATACACCATACACCCCCAGGATACACCATACACCCCCAGGATACACAATATACTCCCAGGATACATCATACACTCCCAGGATACACCATACACACCCAGGATACACCATACACTCCCAGGATACACCATACACTCCCAGGATACACCATACACCCCCAGGATACACCATACACTCCCAGGATACATCATACACCCCCAGGATACACCATACACCCCCAGGATACACCATACACCCCCAGGATACACTATACACCTCCAGCATGTATATTATTCTGCGCTCACCCGATGGCGTGTACTGGCTTGCGGTGGGCGTGGCTTGCGGTGGGCGTGGCTTGCAGTGGGCGTGGCTTGTGGTGGGCGTGGGTTGCGGTGGGCGTGGCTTGCAGTGGGCGTGGCTTTCGGTGGGCGTGGCTTGCAGTGGGCGAGGCTTGTGGGGGCGAGGCTTGTGGTGGGCGAGGCTTGCAGTGGGCGTGGCTTTCGGTGGGCGTGGAGGCTTGTGGTGGGCGTGGCTTGCAGTGGGCGTGGCTTGTGGTGGGCGTGGCTTGTGGTGGGCGTGGCTTGTGGTGGGCGAGGCTTGTGGTGGGCGAGGCTTGCAGTGGGCGTGGCTTTCGGTGGGCGTGGCTTGTGGTGGGCGTGGCTTTCGGCTTGTGGTGGGCGTGGCTTGCGGTGGGCGTGGCTTGCGGTGGGCGTGGCTTGCGGTGGGCGTGGCTTGCGGTGGGCGTGGCTTGCGGTGGGCGTGGCTTGTGGTGGGCGTGGCTTGCGGTGGGCGTGGCTTGCGGTGGGCGTGGCTTGCGGTGGGCGTGGCTTGCGGTGGGCGTGGCTTGTGGTGGGCGTGGCTTGCGGTGGGCGAGGCTTGTGGTGGGCGTGGCTTGCGGTGGGCGTGGCTTGTGGTGGGCGTGGCTTGCGGTCGGCGTGGCTTTCGGTGGGCGTGGCTTGTGGTGGGCGTGGCTTGTGGTGGGCTAGGCTTGCAGTGGGCGTGGCTTTCGGTGGGCGTGGCTTGCGGTGGGCGTGGCTTGTGGTGGGCTAGGCTTGCGGTGGGCGAGGCTTGCGGTGGGCGAGGCTTGCGGTGGGCGTGGCTTGCAGTGGGCGTGGCTTGTGGTGAGCGTGGCTGTGGTGGGCTAGGCTTGCAGTGGGCGTGGCTTTCGGTGGGCGTGGCTTGTGGTGGGCGTGGCTTGTGGTGGGCTAGGCTTGCAGTGGGCGTGGCTTGCGGTGGGCGAGGCTTGCGGTGGGAGTGGCTTGTGGTGGGCGTGGCTTGCGGTGGGCGTGGCTTGCGGTGGGCGTGGCTTGCGGTGGGCGTGGCTTGCGGTGGGCGTGGCTTGCGGTGGGCGTGGACTTGCGGAGGGCGTGGCCTGCAATAAAAACAGGGCTAACTCCTTGCGGTGTTGCCATGCTTGCGGTGGGCCAGGCTCGGTTTTCAAGCTTGCAAGAGCTGCCACCTTTAAATAGTCGTGATCAGCTTTGTCAGTCTAGATCAGCGGTTTGTCAGTCTTGCGATCAGCGTGGCTTTGTCAGTCGTAGCTTGCAGTGGGCGTGTCAGTGTAGATCAGCGTGGTTTGGTGGGCAGTCTAGCATCAGCGTGTTTGTCAGTCTGGATCAGTGGTTGTCGTGTCTGTGATCAGCTTGTTTGTCAGTGGGCGTAGATCAGCTGGTGGTCAGTCTAGATGCGGTGGGAGTGTCAGTCTAGGTGGGCTGGCTTTGGTCAGTCTAGATCAGCTGTTTGTCTGTCTGCGATCAGCTGTGGACTATGTCAGGTCTAGATCTAGCTAAAAAACAGGACTAACTCCTTTGCGGTGTTTGTCAGTCTAGAGCCATCTCTTTGTCAAGTCTAGATCAGCTGTTTGTCAGGCTAGATCAGCTGTTTGTCAGTCTAGATCAGCTGTTTGTCAGTCTAGATCAGCTGTTTGTCAGGCTAGATCAGCTGTTTGTCAGTCTAGATCAGCGTTTGTCAGTCTAGATCAGCTGTTTGTCAGTCTAGATCAGCTGTTTGCCAGTCTAGATCAGCTGTTTGTCAGTCTAGATCAGCTGTTTGTCAGTCTAGATCAGCTGTTTTGTTGGATGAAAACAATTATGAACGAAATATTTTGTGTTTTGTTTTTAAAAAAGCATTTGTGTTCTCTGAGAGATGTACACAAGGCGTCGCTCAATTTGTCACCAGTAATGCCAAACGAGCCTCAAGTCATTGGTTAGTGTAACAAGGCCATCAGACTCCTAAACAATCAAATAACAAGATCATTGCTCTCTCAAACACCTGTGTAACGAGTAGTCTCAGATCAGTGGTTCCTTTAATAAGGTCATTAGACGGTTAAACAACCCCGGACTTGTCTGAACACGGGAGGGGCCCCCGGACTTTGAGGGAAAACGGGAAGGACCTCCGGACTAGTGGGGAACACGGGAAGGACCTCCGGACTTGTGGGGAAGACGGGAAGGACCTCCGGACTTGTGGGGAACACGGGAAGGACCTCCGGACTTGTGGGGAACACGGGAAGGACCTCCGGACTTGGGGGGAACACGGGAAGGACCTCCGGACTTGTGGGGAACACGGGAGGGACCCCCGGACTTTGGGGGGAAACGGGAAGGACCTCCAGACTTGTGGGGAACACGGGAAGGACCTCCGGACTTGTGGGGAACACGGGAAGGACCTCCGGACTTGTGGGGAACACAGGAAGGACCTCCGGACTTGTGGGGAACACGGGAAGGACCTCCGGACTTGAGGAAAGAATTTATTCAGTGCAGAAATTGAAGAGTTATGCCAGTCGAGCGAAAGCTAAAAGCCAGGCCCAGGAGCTAAAACTCGAACTCCGCAAACACCGCTCGTTGTGTATACACACACACACACACACACCAACAGCTCTAGCCTAATAACCAAGACGTCTTCGAGTCTCACGCTAATTTAAGCCGTCGTTGGAAGTCAACTTCGCTCGATTGAGAGTCAACGCGATGGAGCCTTTGACACAAGGGAGGAAAAAACACGAAGATAATTAGGATAAACACACAGTTACACACGACGCTTTCCTGGAACTCCAATCCCAAAGGCTGGAAAAATATTCCAAAGCCTGGAAAAGGTCCAAACACACTCGACACCTTCCTGGAACTCCAATCCCAGAGACTGCTATGCTGTCCCAGAGTCTGGAAGAAGCCCAGAATTACACACGTCGACCTTCTGGAACTCCAATACCAGAGCCTGGAAAGCGATTCTAGTGTCTTCAAGAGGCTCCAGGGGCCTGGACCACTTCCACACTCTGGAATTCCAATTCCAGAGAATGGAACGCCATCTTAGAGACTGCAAGGGGTCGAGGAACACACAGGAATATGACAGAAGAAACATATTGAGTTAACAAGCAGAAGTTCTGTAGGAGCAGGATCCTCAAGGTCTTAGGTGGGGGCGGGATGGGTGTGGGTGTTGAGGGTGTATAGGGGTTAGCGGGGAAGGTGTGGGTGGGTACGTGGGTTGAGAAAGGCGGAAAGTGAGCCTGGGAAAAGGGGTGGGTGTGGGTGTGGGTGGGATGGAAGCAACGTGGGGAGCGCTGAGCGGGTGCCTAAAGCAAGGTGGGCGGGGGAGTGTGGCGAATTCTCAGCGAGGTGGGTGGAGGAGGGAGAGGTGGGGGAGGTACGGGGAGGTGGGGGAAGGAAGAGGAGGAGGAGGGCCAGGAGGCCAATGTTTGTCAAAGTTATTACAAGGGGAGAAAACCGGAAAATCGCTGAGAAGCCGCGTTGCACGCAAGGCTTGGTTGGTGTGGGGGGGGGGGGAAGGGGGGGAAGAGGGGGAAGCTTGCGAGGTGGGGAAGATTGGGGGAGGCTGGGGAGGTTAGGACTGGTGGGGACCCATAGAGGGGGGGAGAGGCCACAGGATTCAAGGAGGCTGGGAACCACAGGAGGGTGTGGGACCACAGGAGGGTGAGGGATCACAGGAGGGTGGGGGCCACAGGAGGGTGGGGGAACCACAGGAGGGTGGGGGACCACAGGAGGGTGGGGGGACCACAGGAGGGCGTGGGACCACAGGAGGGTGAGGGACCAGAGGAGGGTGGGGGACCACAGGAGGGTGAGGGACCACAGGAGGGTGGGGGCCACAGGAGGGTGTGGGGACCACAGGAGGGTGGGGGACCACAGGAGGGTGGGGGACCACAGGAGGGTGTGGGGACCACAGGAGGGTGTGGGGACCACAGGAGGGTGTGGGACCACAGGAGGGTGTGGGACCACAGGAGGGTGAGGGACCAGAGGAGGGTGGGGGACCACAGGAGGGTGAGGGACCACAGGAGGGTGGGGGCCACAGGAGGGTGTGGGGACCACAGGAGGGTGGGGGACCACAGGAGGGTGGGGGACCACAGGAGGGTGAGGGACCACAGGAGGGTGGGGGACCACAGGAGGGTGAGGGACCACAGGAGGGTGAGGGATCACAGGAGGGTGAGGGACCACAGGAGAGTGGGGGACCACAGGAGGGTGTGGGGACCACAGGAGGCTGGGGACCACAGGAGGGTGAGGGATCACAGGAGGGTGGGGGACCACATGAGGGTGGGGGACCACAGGAGGGTGAGGGACCACAGGAGAGTGGGGGACCACAGGAGGGTGGGGGACCACAGGAGGGTGAGGGACCACAGGAGGGTGAGGGATCACAGGAGGGTGGGGGACCACAGGAGGGTGGGGGACCACAGGAGGTTCTGGGACCACAGGAGGGTGTGGGGACCACAGGAGGGTGGGGGACCACAGGAGGGTGAGGGATCACAGGAGGGTGTGGGACCACAGGAGGGTGGGGGACCACAGGACGGTGGGGGACCACAGGAGGGTGAGGGACCACAGGAGGGTGAGGGATCACAGGAGGGTGGGGGACCACAGGAGGGTGGGGGACCACAGGAGGGTGAGGGACCACAGGAGAGTGGGGGACCACAGGAGGGTGTGGGGACCACAGGAGGCTGGGGACCACAGGAGGGTGAGGGATCACAAGAGGGTGGGGGACCACAGGAGGGTGGGGGACCACAGGAGGGTGAGGGACCACAGGAGAGTGGGGGACCACTGGAGGGTGTGGGACCACAGGAGGATGGGGACTAAAGGAGGGTGAGGGAAGACAGGAGGGTGAGGGACCACAGGAGGGTGGGGGACCGCAGGAGGGTGTGGGACCACAGGAGGTTGTGGGACCACAGGAGGGTGAGGGACCACAGGAGGGTGAGGGACCACAGGAGGGTACGGGGACCGCAGGAGGGTGTGGGACCACAGGAGGTTCTGGGACCACAGGAGGGTGAGGGACCACAGGAGGGTGAGGGACCACAGGAGGGTGTGGGGAACCACAGGAGGGTGGGGGACCACAGGAGGGTGAGGGACCACAGGAGGGTGAGGGATCACAGGAGGGTGGGGGACCACAGGAGGTTGTGGGACCACAGGAGGGTGAGGGACCACAGGAGGGTGGGGGACCACAGGAGGGTGGGGGACCACAGGAGGGTGAGGGACCACAGGAGGGTGAGGGACCACAGGAGGGTGAGGGACCACAGGAGAGTGGGGGACCACAGGAGGGTGTGGGGACCACAGGAGGCTGGGGACCACAGGAGGGTGTGGGACCACAGGAGGCTGGGGACCACAGGAGGGTGAGGGACCACAGGAGGGTGAGGGATCACAGGAGGGAGGGGGACCGCAGGAGGGTGTGGGACCACAGGAGGTTGTGGGACCACAGGAGGGTGAGGGACCACAGGAGGGTGAGGGACCACAGGAGGGTGGGGGACCGCAGGAGGGTGTGGGACCACAGGAAGGTGGGGGACCACAGGAGGGTGTGGGACCACAGGAGGGTGTGGGACCACAGGAGGGTGGGGGACCACAGGAGGGTGTGGGGAACCACAGGAGGGTGGGGGACCACAGGAGGCTGGGGGACCACAGGAGGCTGGGGACCACAGGAGGGTGTGGGACCACAGGAGGGTGGGGGACCACAGGAGGGTGTGGGACCACAGGAGGGTGGGGGACCACAGGAGGGTGTGGGACCACAGGAGGGTGTGGGACCACAGGAGGCTGGGGACCACAGGAGGGTGTTGGGACCACAGGAGGGTGGGGACTACAGGAGGGTGTGGGGAACCACAGGAGGATGGGGGACCACAGGAGGGTGTGGGACCACAGGAGGGTGTGGGGACCACAGGAGGGTGTGGGGAACCACAGGAGGGTGGGGACCACAGGAGGGTGTGGGACCACAGGAGGGTGTGGGACCACAGGAGGGTGGGGGACCACAGGAGGGTGTGGGACCACAGGAGGGTGTGGGACCACAGGAGGCTGGGGACCACAGGAGGGTGTGGGACCACAGGAGGGTGGGGACTACAGGAGGGTGTGGGGAACCACAGGAGGATGGGGGACCACAGGAGGGTGTGGGACCACAGGA